AAAAATGAGAGTATAGATGTAGTGAAAGTTAAGTCCCCTGTTTTGGAGGTGAAGGAAAATTCTTCAGATGGAACAAGTATAGAAAGCATATTTGGTGAAGAAGGGGTACAAGAAGTGAAAGACACACTTGTCAAAGATGAGCTGAATGAAGGGGAGAGTTATACATCAGTCCAAGAAGGATTGAGTAATGTGAAGGACCTTAGTTGCAATGAGGATAGCTTACAAAGACAAGAAAATCTTTGTGTTGTTAGAGATAAATTGCAAGAAGGAAGAAGCAGTACTGTTAAAGATGTGAAAAGTGAAGGGAAGAACTTGTGCTCTGCAATAGATGATGAACTTTGTGGAGTTCATTCTTGTGAGGACAAACTGGATGAAAGCATTTCAAGAGATAAGGAACTGGCAAAGGATCAGTGTGCTTCTGTGAAAGTGAAATTGGGGAAGCGTGGGAAAGAAACAAAGGAAAAACAGAGTGAAAACACATGCAATATTGATGTTGATGAAGAAAAGAAGAGAATAAAAGATGGCACTGATAGTGAAAACACAGAGGAGCAAGAGAGTGACAGTGGTGTGGAAGTTAAGACTGCATCCAACATTCCCTTAAAAAATGAAGGTATGGGGGTGGTTCCAACAAACACAGAGGCTGCAGCAGGGGAAGATTCTGAAGAAGATCATGTATCGCTGGCTCTGGCTCTGGCACAGCTGGTCAATTCAGAATGTGGGGGAGAAGTTGAAGGTGCTGAGACTGTCACCATACATTCTGCCTCATCTGTAGATCACTTGGAAGATGAAGCTGGAGTTGTTACCCTTGGATGTAAAGCAGAAGGTATGTTCAGTGTATCTTACATGAATACAGGGTAATTGATTTATAAGATGCAGAGGTCTTTGTAATATGTAGCAATAGTATTTTGTTTTAGTTCATTGAAACCTAAATAATGTTTTATTAGTGAGAATATCAATATTTTATATAGAAATCCAGTGTGAGCTTCACCAAGAGAGATATTTACAAAGATAGAGAAAGAGATTAAATGCACAATACATTTTTTCCTACATCCAGTACATTTTTGCCTGGTCAGACAGGTTATTGGAAGTTTTTGAAATAGAGAAAATGAAACCTATTTACTCTAATAAAATCCTATTGCAGGGAATATCTACCTTCTTCCTCTCCTTTTTTTGAAAATTAATGATTTTGAGGGGTAATTCAGAAGCACTCACAAATCAGTAAGGATGGGCTCAGCAATTTTAGGGCGTTGGATTTGATGTGTTCAAAGAATATGCTAGAGATTGAGGCTGGTCATAGTAGGTCTGATGAACATACATTAATGCCAAAATTTCTCAAAAGTGCATGTACCTCTCACTGCCCCAAAATTCGATTTTCAGCTGTTATTAGTGTAAATGTACAAAACAAGGATAGGTAAGAAATCAGTCAAAAAAATTCTTTGAGATCAATAATAACCTTTCCAAATATGTGAAGGTTATCACTAATGCTTGTTCTTGTTTTGTTTTTTTTCTGTGAAGAACATCAGAAGTGTGGTATACATGGTAACAAACAAGGTTCTATAAGTTCACACATGATAGCCTGTCTTTGCAGTGTCTTCATTTGTGCATATGTTTTTAGAGCCAGAACTTTAAATACAAGTAGTTTCCCCGGAGAAATGATAAAGAGGCCTATATCAGTTTCAAATTATCACATACGTGATGACCTTGACCAATTGGTACCAGGTACATGCATGGTCCATTGTAGTTTTCTTGTGTCAGTTTTGTTAACAAATGAATGGATTTACAAGTGCTTAGTCATCTAGTAGTCAACCTCACCTTCTTACCCCATGCCTTTAATTTTGGGGGGAAAGGCTTTATTTCTGATAGTTTTTATCATTATCTTTACTACTATTAATATTGTTATTATCATCATTATCATTATCATTACTACTATCACTACTACTACTCTTGTTATTGTTAAAATCATTTAAAAACTTTCCTTTCTGAAAAAGTAAATAAGTAACTGACCCCTTTGATTACAAACTCCTTGCAAACTCATCTGTGTTTAAACAAAAATAACTAAAACCATACTTTAAACACAATACTACTCCATGGAGATGAGGGTTGATCCTTTGATAGATAATGAGGAAACAGTAGCCACTAATACCAAACAAAAAATGTCATTACTTTAACACGAAAAGATGACGATATGTATTGTAATTTTGCCCTTCAAATTTTAGAGAGAGAGAGAGAGAGAGTGTATGTATATGATTCTTTGTTTGTTTGTTTGATTGTTTTTATGTGTGTAGATAGATAGATATAATCATTCTCTTTCTCTCTCTTCCCTTCTCCTCTGTGCATGCATATCTGTGACTAGAGGCTTTTAATTGAATAGGGCACTCAAAGATCTTTCTATGTTTTCCAGAGGTGGACAGAACAGAATCACCATGTCCAGCTGAGGAAGATGATATGGAAGAGGAGGAGGAGGAGGAGGAAGGTGAACTTATCATTAAAGAGGAGGATGAAGATGAAATAGGTGATGAGTCTGAGGAGGAAGAATTCATCACAGGTTTGTAGGCTGTTCTATTATTAATCTTATTTTTGTTTATGCTTTTTTAGTTGATAGTATTGTAGCTGCTGTTGGTGTTCCTGTTAATGTTATTATAATTAATTTTGTTGATAGGTGATATCTGCCCTATTATCATGAAAAATACCAAGCCATTTTTCTTTTAGGAGAAGGTAAAGTAAGAGCATATGCATGTGTGTACTTATGTTAACTTAACCCAATGGTGCCGGGGAAAATGAACAAAAAATGGGGAAAATATTGTGCCCACTTTCTATGTTTTTCGTGAAATGTCTGCCGATAGATGGCTCTGCTAGCGCCTGATTTAAATGGCGGGAAAAACGTATTTTTCACTAGTGGTATGAAAATTGATGGTGTTATTTTTATCATGAACATTATAATTTTTATGATTTTTTTTAACATTAGTAACAGCAAAATAAGATTACGTAAATTATTTTGTAAATCAAAGAAACGGGTAAACGGGCGAGACGGGCGGTGCTCGTAACTGGCTCATTGGGAAGTTAGTACAAGTGTTGCCATCTATGCGTAAAAACAATCGAACAAGTACTCACGGTGGGCATAGCACGTATGTACACGTCATACCCGGCACCAAGGGGTTAAGGAGGGAAGGGAGTGGGTGCACTTGTCCATCCATTTATGGGTGGTCCAGGGGAGGGAATGGTCATTTTACAGTTTCGGATATTTGAACTAAAGAAAAATATAAATATTTTTATGCACAAATTGCAAATAATCTAAGTTTATTACACTCCACTTGCAAATGATATATAGAAAAGGGTAAACAGGTGATACAAGCAGTTCTTATAATTGGCTCATTGGTGACTAAGTACATATGGAGCTATCTATGTGTAAAAATAATTAAAAACGTAACCACCACCACCATATCCGTTATTATAATGAGGGGCATAGAGGACAGTAATTAGGGCTCACTGTAGGGGATTACCTATCCTTGAACCTGAGCCATTGCCTCAATGAAGGGGATTTTTCTCTCTCTCTCTCTCTCTCTCTCTCTCTCTCTCTCTCTCTCTCTCTCTCTCTCTCTCTCTCTCTCTCTCTCTCTCTCTCCCCCTCTCTCCCTCCCCTGCCCCCTCCCCCTCCCCCTCCCCCTCCCCCTCCCTCTCACCCTCTCAACCTATTTCAGGCTCATTATGGCCAATAATGAAGATTTTTTCTTTATTAGGGGATTTATGGCTTGCCCCTTCATCAACTAGCCTATCTAAATTTAATTTCTCTGGTTTCCCGAACCCTGCCTGTCCTCTGATCATAGCTCCAACCACTGATGCTATCTCTATCCATTCTGAATCCTTCACCCAGATCATTACCTAACCTTCATAATAGACCCCTTCCTCTCTCCTAGCATCATCTACTTCATCTCCTCCTTCTGCACAGTCTTCTTCATTGTCTACCCCCTCCTCCCTTATTACTACTCTTCATCCTTATAGTCCTCCTCCCCACATTCCTATCTCTCACTCCACACCACCCCAACTTCCTTCCACCCTTGTCCTTCTACTGCTTCCACCTCTGTAAACCTTTTTGAGTACCCCTTTCGGGACTAATTCTTTGTAATTCCCCCTATATCCAGTTTTTACCACTTCCCCAATGCCTACCCCTCCTACTTCTCTCCTTGCCTTTTGCCACAAGGCAATCTAAAAGTTTCACCCCATCTTCTAACTCATCCTCTCCTACTCCCACAACTGCTTCTGGTCCCCACACATCTGTCGCCTCGTCTCCTCCTCGTAAGAAAACCTTCATTTTACAGACCTCCCCACCTAACTCCCCTCCAGAAACTCTTAATCCCTTAGATCCAGCTGCATCACAGCAGTAACAAAAAATCTGGGCATTAGGCTTATGTAAGCGGCTGTTCTGCCAGGTGCGCAGCTTGTAGGCCAGGCACATGTGAAGTGACAGGACTCTATGCCTCCTATTTGCAATGTTATTTCATCTTTTTACACAAGCTTTTTTTGTTTTTTTGCCATTTGAATTGCATTATCTGGATGGTAATAGACTGTTTTCTTTGCACAGACTCCATATCATATCTCTAGGTAGTCTGCAACTCTGTGCAATAAAATTTAAAATATGCAACACTGTTATTTGTGTGTGTGCCCCCCTGTAATATTCAAGTTTCTGTAATACAACCAGCATCGTTGGTCACGGTGCCAAGAATATGAGGCTGAGTATGGAAATGGCATCCTCTGTGGAGCTAGCACTCTTCCAGTCCTGGCTCAGGGACATTACATTCCTCACTCATATATCAATTGAGTCTAATCAACCTCCCAAGAGGTTTGTGCACTCATTGTGAATCTTTTCCATCACCCTGGCCTTCAGCCACAATGCTCATGATGGTAGGTTCACGTCAACCAGCCTGCAGCCAGATTTTTCATAATGTTATGGTCACGTCACGCAGATTGAGGGGGTTAAAGATATCTAAAACTTCCTAATCATTACCCCAGAAAACATTCCATTCCCTCACCCACCCTCCAATATCTCTATTCCTATTCCCTCTACATTCAAAGTAATTGCCAATATATATTGATCCTCTTCCTCAAGTTCCCCCAACCCCTCTTCCTCCTACTCTCTCCCAGTATACCCCATCCTCCCTTCTCCATGTGCACCATTCCCTCATCTTTCCCCATTATCCTTACTGCTCCTACCTTGCTGCACACGTGACTCCATATGTTGCAACAGTGTCGTCCTCTAGATCCCTCCCCTCCTAACATTCTTCGTGATAGATACTCTCCATTATATCTAATCATCCTATGTTGTTCAAATACCAGAGGTCCAAGTATATATATTTCAAACTTTAATATTCATTATCCTTTTATCTTAAGGAAATTCATCAAAAGGAATTAGATCCAGAATAAGGGGACCATACTTTTGGTGGTTGTTTTTTGAATGTTGTTTTTATGAATCAATAAAAATTTTGAAAATAAAATCCAACTCAAGTGACAAACACTGGCTAGAGTTATAGTCATGAACCTGAGCTGTGGGCTACCTTTGGAAGCTTTCAAAGGGGTATTTATGCGTTTTCCCTCCCATGGATGGCAAAAACATTTATACTAACAGGGGTGGTGAGTGGTTCCCTCTCTTGAGCCCTTACCCTCAGGGGCTCTCAGAGGAGAGAATCGTGCATTTTCCTGGGGGGAGCAATCCACAGCATATTCAGACACTGCAACCTGGCCCCATCTTGGTTTATTTTTCTTTCTTTTCTTTTCTTTTCTTTTCTTTTCTTGATATCATCATTATTATTATTGTTAGTAGTAGTAGTATTGTTATAGATTAAAATAGAGCAAGTGAGCTGCCCTCATGTAATATTAACAATGCTAACAGTAATAAAAAATAAATATCTATAAAGATATAATGGGAGAGGGTAAAAAGGTGAGATCTAGAAGGTCTTGTAATTGATTCCTTATACTGAGCACTACTAGAACCTTATATTTGTAAGCAGAATTAATATGATAAAATCACAATGGAACTAGGTATCTGTATACATAGCCTCCTTCCTTCAACACATTGATAACACATTAATTAACCCCTTGGTGCCGGGTGACGCCGATCGGCGTGTAAACAAAGAGCTCGAAAGCTGGCGTGCAGCCAATCGAGCCGGCGGCGCGCCAAAGCGCGGTGAGCCAGTGATTCGGGCTGATGTCCCCTACTCACGCACTCAAAGTCGGCGAGCCGCCTTTGTTTGTTTAAGCGTAGATTTTTTTGTTTTGTTTTGTACACCCGGCGCCATTGGGTTAAATAGTAATGCCAGTAATGATAACAGTAATATTATTATTATTATTATCTTTTTTTTTTTTTTTTTTTTTTTTTTTTTCTTTTTTTTTTTTTTTTTTTTCTTTTTTTCTTTCTTTCTTTTCTTTTCTTTTCTTTTCTTTTCTTTTCTTTTTCTTCTTCTTCTTCTTCTTCATCTTCTTCTTCTTCTTCTTCTTCCTCCTCTTCTTCCTTTTTTCTTTTTTTCTTTCTTTTTTTCTTTTTTTTTTAATCAAGGAATAGAGCAAAAAGGTGAGACCTAGTAATTAACTCCTAGGTGTTTGTGAATCAGATTTGGAAACAAAATTGACAGAATAACACTACAGTAGACAGTGCATGTACCCAGCATCTTTAATTCGTAAATCTTGTTCTTTTACAGCTTGTGAGTATTTTATGAACTACATGCTTTTTCATTGTATACAAATTTTCATTTTGTTTTGAGTTGAAAAAAATCCACATGGGCACTGTTGATAAAGAATGACTTGATTACAGGCCTTTTTCTTCTTGTTTCTTTCTTCTTTATATTTTCTTTTTTCTTTCTTCCATTTCTCCTTTTCTTCTCCTCCTCCTCCTCTTCTTCTTCTTCCCTTCTTTTCCTCCTTACCACAGTAGTCATCATATCCAGATACCACTTTTTTCTTCCTTTCTCCCTCCCTCCCTGTAATAAAAAAAGAAGAAGAAGAAGTATGTTCTTAACCTTTTTTACTCTTATTTTTTTCACATGGTCCAAAATATAAGTATTGAATGTAGAAGTAAATATTTTGGGGGGTTAACCTGTCTCATGGTATGGAACTTTCCCCCCCCCCCCTCCCCCCATTCCTGCAGAACAGTCCCTGTAATGCTTTCACTACACAGATTTGAACCAAATTGGCGAGTTACAATGAACTTTTATTTTCCAAATGTTCAGAACTCAAGCAGAATAGCAAGGAAGATGATAGTCGAGAAGAAACTGAAAGCAAAGATCCGCTGCCTGTGACTGTGCCAGAAAGGATAACAGACCAGCTGGACTGCCTGGTAGAGATGGGTGGGGAAGAAGAGGATAAAAATGCTCGATCCAGGAGTGGATCGCCTCCACCACAGCCACCGCCACAGAAGTCCAGGAAACAGCTCCCTCCACTCATCAAAATCAGCTCTCGACCCCCAGGTGTGTTGAGCCAGGATTAGAGAGAACAATGCTTTGAGATTTAGCTTGTATTCTCTTATAAATATGTAAATTTTACATTAAAACAAGAAGTTACATGGAAACATATGAATGTGTTCATAAAATCTTTTTAACATGATATATAGCACATAAGAATGCAAAAAAAACTATAACCAGGTAGATATAGATAAGAGCTGTGTTTGTGTGTGTGGATGAGAGATGTATACCTAGACATAATCATATCATTGTTTTCTTTTTTCTTGTATACTATTTTATAGGTGACATGTTTAAGATAATCACACATCAGAGATTTATGGGTCTCATATTGATTGGCAGTTTTAGATTACACTTAGGAAATGCAGATCTTTTTAGTCTTTTAATCTGAATTAAACATTAAATTTCAGCTATCAAGACTCCATTGAAGTGTCCAGAATGCCCCATGCAGTTTTGCACTGTGCGATCATTATTGTGGCATTTTGGAACTCATGGAGCAAGATCAAGAGACACCTGCATTCCTCCAATCCTTCTACAAGATCTGATTGTTCCATGGGACAAGCCCACAGTTTCTGTTTTCATCTCACAACCTACAGAAAGTGCCACAGCAACACCCACATCATCAGTTGCAGACAATGCAATCAAAATTGATGTAGTAAGCAAGCCAGATGTACCGTCAACAATACAACTGGTTAGAACAGAAGATTACATGGGAAACAATGGAGACGTTATTCTGAAAGTACCAATTCCCAGACTGAAACCCAAGTCTCATTCAAATCAGTATGTCAAAAAAGATAAGTTTGTAAACATACTACCAAAGATACCTACAGGTGATGGGCAAGTGTCAGGTCAGTCCACCCAAGCTAGCCCTCAGCCAGCACTGATCCGGCCATCTGGATCACCTACTCCACAGATCACTGTTCATCCTCAGCCAGCAGTTCAGTCCACAGTCAGTATACCTTCAGATCAGGCATCAACAACTCAGTCTCAGGTTCCAAAGATCACCATTAGGGCAAGTAATAAACTTCAGATTCAGCCATTGGCATCATCACAGTCTACGGTGCAAGTGCAGTCACCATCAGCGGTTCAGGTACAGCCACCATCATTACAAGTACAGCCTCAGTCTGCAGTACAATTACAGCAATCAACAGTGCAAGTTCAGCCCCAGTCTGGGACACAGTTGCAGCAGCCATCTGCAGTTGCAGTACAGTCACAGTCTGCCTTGCAGGTGCAAACTCCAACAGGAGTGCAAGTCCAGCCATCACCTGCACTGCAAGTTCAGCCCATTGTAACAACTAGTAAGGGTTCTTCTGCTGCTCCTAGTCATATAACTTTAATCCCTATGGACAAGTTAACTGCAGTAGGTCAGACCATTAATCCAAGGGGATCTAAGCTTAACCCAGCTCCCTTGAGAATGGTAGCCCCCTCAACAATGCCTGTCAAATCGTCAAACACAGTGGACAATGTGCTGGAGAAGGATGGCTTGGTTATGATCAACTCAAACCTTGCTCTTCGCATAGTATCATCCTTGCCCAGCAGTTTGGACAGTGCGACTAACACAACAAATACCACCACTCTTAGACCAATAGCTAGTCAATCCACAAACAACCTGACTATTGTGCCACAGACAGAAAGCAACAAACTAATCAACTCCTCTAAGATAGAGACTGCAAAAAGTCCTGACATTCTTACAATTGTTCCTCAAGTTGATTTGAATAAAAAAGTTTCACTGTTAAAATCTGGGAGTTCAGTGTCTGGTGGCCAAGTTGCCAGTGCATCACCAAAACAGCCATCAACGGCCCAGTCCCAGGTTGTAAAGCTATATCTCCTTCAACCCAAAGATCCAAAAGCAAATGGAGGTTCACTAAAATCAGGCATTACATCAGAAGCAAGTAATGTTAATGGAATAGAAATACCACTTCCTCTACCTAATGGAAATGAAAAGCTCAACTATAGAGAAGTAGAGGTGAAAGATAATACATCAGAATCATCAGAAGGAGAGGAGGAGGAGGAGGAGGAGGAGGAAGATGATGATGATGAAGGAATGGTAATTGATGATGGCAAGGAAGGAGAGGATGATGTAATGGATCCCCTGAGTTTATGTGCTGTGACAATGGAAGATGAGAATTTAGAAGCTTTAAACAATGCAAGCCAAACTACCCAGTCTGGTGGGTCCTCTCCTGCCACATCACCTGATAAGGTTATCATAAAAAAGTTGCCAGTAAGGCCCAAAGGCAAAAATGGACAAGCTGTTGATATTGTTAAATATGAGGCCCGAAAGTATGTGTGTTGCTATTGTAACAGGAGATTTGGATGGTCAACTGATCTCAAGCGTCATGTTATCCTCCACACTGGTGAGAAACCTTTCCAGTGTAAAGTGTGCCCAACAGCATTTACCAGAAAGTTCCTTTTACAGAATCATATGAAGAGAATGCACCCAGACAAGTGTAAGATGTCAGACCTGTGGCCTTAGGAAAGTTAGGCTGTTATGGTCTTTAGCTTGTTATAATATAGCCAGTAGATGAGTGATTTTTATAATGAGTTGCACAGACAACATAGTTGTTGATATTGGTGCTGAAAAAAGAGAAAGATTAATATTCAAGTACACAAATTGCCATGATGTACACCTTTGGGAGTTCATGCATGTGGATGCTTGGACACTAGTCAACATATCCTTTTAAAGTCAAAAGAATTATATCATACTTTTCAGATTTCTAAAATATAGAAGATGTATTATTAGTAAAGCATTTGTAACAGGTCCTAATAGGGAATCCTTTCTTGAGTGTTCTTTGTCCCTTGCAAAGTAAAATATTTTTGTTTTAGGATAATGAAGATATAGAAATTATTGAAGAGGTCATGACTTTTTTTTTATTAGCTTACAAAAAATATGCTAATTGAGAGTATGACTTAATTATGTTTTTGGGAGAAATACTTTCAATTTTTCTGACTTGGTTTTCTGCTCACATAGCTCTTGAGAAATCTATATTTTTCCACATACAATCTTGAACCATGGATGGCATTTGTCTAAGGAAATTAAGGAAATGATGGGGTTGTACTATATAAACTGATGGACATATTCATTTTTTTATGATTACTTATATTCCAATATTATTTTGTAGATTTATCATGTTCATTTTTCTTTCTTTCTTTCTTTCTTTTTTTGAGTTTTGCAAGTTACCAAAGATAATTACATTCATGTATCATAAGGCAAGGATAAAGGAATGAATATGAAAATTGATAACAATGATGTAATTATTGTTTTTTTAATTATCTTAATTATAATGATTTTGCGAAAGTGCTTTAGATATATAGTTCGCTATTTATTTTGACTTTTATTATTATCTGTAGATAAGTGATATTTGATTTATTCATACAATTTTGTTCTTTAAAATTTTCCTTATTTTGTTATGTATTCAGTAGTGAAGAAAAATATTTGTAATTTTAGTATGCAGAATATTGTGCTCCCATTTCTATGCAGTGTAGCTGTATTGCCTGTTGTTACTCTTCATTTGCAGGAAGGACGAGTTTGGATGTAAGTAAATCTAGAGCACATACCGGGAGGCTTTGTCGTCCATTCAGTTGTTGGTTTCATAAGCATTGTACAAAGTTGGACCATGTATTTGAGATACAAACAGAAAACGAAATTGAGTTACAATTTCAGTTGTTGCCAGTGCCATATAGATACTAGGATGATCAAAGATGCAGTGACAATGTTTATAAGTTCCTTCTTTAGTGAAGTGAGCTGCTAATAATACTTCTGGGTACATTTGCCATGACAGGCCTATTATCTGGGGTGTACTTACAGGAGTCTGGTGTGCTTGCAAAAGTTGTATGAACAAGAATCTACAGTATGTATGAACAAGAATTTTCTGTACTTGCATGTCCCAGTTGATTGTACAAGAACTGGTTGTGTATACACAAGCCATTTATACAAGATTTAATTGAGCTACTATTTATATATCAATACTGCTGAAGTGACTTGATAGTGAAGGACAGAGTTGGGCATTTGATGAGGTAACCAAATGGATAACTTTTTACAGTCTTCAGGCTTTTGTTACATGCTAGAGTCTTTTACTCATAATTTGATACAAAATTAGCTTGGGCTTCTGTGTGCCATGAACAGAGAATGTAAGATTAATTATTTACTACCCCATTGATGGAGAAATGCCTTTTCATTAGTTATCGTTCTTTCACAGAGCATTGAGACTGCATCGCTTATTGAATTTTACATTAATTTGAATTTTCCAAATTTCACTTTACTTTAAGAGTAAAATTATTTTCCCTTGTTATGTTTTTGTACAACTGAGACCAGTATATTGAGTCTTATCTTCTCAGCAAATTAATTGATATTGCTGAAAAGGCAAGTTGGCATCCTAACACCACCCCATGCAATTGAAAGTGTATATGTGAAAGAGAGTAAAAGTGAGATATTTTTCTTCTGCCTTTTCTCTCATTTTTTATTGTTCTAGTTTATAGTACTTTGCACATGTTTATAACCATAATGCAGGAGTACATGTAAGTTATGTTTATGTTTTTCAGTGCACTCAAATTCTGTATCATCAGCACTAGAGCAAGATGTATATCACTATTTTACATTTTTCACTTTTTTTCATATTAGGTAAAGTTCTACATCTCCATAATTTTGCATGTTTGTCACTGAATAAATCTAATGCCTTGACCCCAGAGTGGCAACAGTTTAGAGATGTCATATATGAAGGGTAGCATTTGTTTATTTCATTAACCATTAGGTAAGTCAATGCTATGATTCATATTAAATGCTGAGTGACATATATCCATTGATTTTAAGGTTTTAGAGCTTGATTACATAGTCTTGGATAAGATCAGATTTTTGTAACTCAGATTCTATGTTTTATACAGTCAGTTTTGCATAATCAAATATTGAGATGTTTGTATTGGGGCTCTTGCAAAACCCTCCTCAGCACAGTTGTGAATATGCACTGAATTCCCCCATAGATTTTACATGGTACAACAGCTACTCACAAAGGCAGACCGATAATATTTAATAATAGTTATGAGTCTGAAGTAAATCAGCACTTTCTGATTGTTATGCAAAAGTTGACCAGCAAGCGATGGAAGCTCTCTTATACTGTTGCTAGAGTCATCTGAATATTTTTAAATGCTGTGTTCAGCATTTTTATTTTCTCTGGATTGTCAATTTTGAAATAATTGGATTGTAAACATGATAAGACTTGTGGCTTAGCAAAAGATGCACTGGTTAAAAAGCCACTTCTCTATGTAAAACAAATTTGTAGCTTATTTTTATGCAGTTTTGCAGAGTATTTTTCACATTTTCCTATTCACATCACTGTATATAATCAAAGGAAATAGTCATTACTTCTCATCAAGCAGGCAATTTTGGATGCTTCATTACTGTATTCATATATGCAAATGAAATTTTCTCTCCTCCTCCTCCCCCTCTCCCCTTTTTATCCACCCCTCCCCTTCCTTCTCCCCTCTCCCCTTTTTATCTTCCTCTCACCGTACCTCTTCCTTATCCTCCTCCCTCCCTCCCTCCCTCTTATCTTACCTTACTCTTATTCGTCCTACTCCTCCTTTCTCTTCCCCCTCCTCTCCCCCTCCCTTCCTCTTCTTGGAGTGTTGAGAGAAATAAAGTGTGTCAGGAATCAGAAGTCAGTCGTGAGTTCGTGTTTTACATGTCTGCATTCTAAGCTATGATCATCTTCCTGCATTTTAGGTTTTATTCTCTCTTAGGCTTTGTTTGTGAACTTGATAATATATTTTCATATGTTGGTGTCTGTATCTGTGTGTGGGTATGTGAAGATCAGCAAAATAGTGAAGTGGTAGTGGCAGTGGTACCTTCTTCATTTTAACATGATCAGTAATATTACTTGTGTACTGTCTTGAACTTTTCTTTCATTTCTTCTTTCTTTCTTTTCTTTTTTTTTACTCTCCTTTCCTGCATTCTGTATGGTTTGTGGAAGGGCACTTTGTTTGCTTTCCGAAGTGTCACCATTATCATTACTGTTTTTCTTGTGATCAAAAATCTTTGTGTCTAATTTCTTTAGTTACTATCAAGGACATTCTTACTTATACTGTTTGTTACTATTATAATTACTATCATTATTGTCATTATTGTTTTTTCCATGGGAGCTATTGTTATTATTATTATTTTTATTATTAATATTAATATTAATATTAATGTTATTATTTTATTGTTATTGTGTTGTGTTATCATCATCTCAGTTCCTCTTATTATTACTATATTATTATTATTATTATTATTATTATTATTATTATTAATTTTGTCATTATTATTTTTAATATTATTGGTCTTTATATTACTACTGTTTTATTATTATCAATTATTATTAATGATCATTAGTAGTTTTTTTACATTACTATTTCTGCTACTACTACTATTACTCTCCCATTACTCTTGCCATTGCTATTGCTTTTGCTGTTACTGTTACTAATACCAATAATATGTATTACCTTTTTTTTGGATTTGGAAGTATTATCATTATTATTATTATTATTATTATTATTATTATTACTATTACTATTATAACCATTATCATAATTTTTTTTATAGTAGTTGCAGTAATGGACTGATGGAGGGGAAATTTATGGCCAGTTATATACAGAGAATATTTTATAGATTGTTTTGTCTAATTTTTATTATTCTTTTCTAATGTTTCTGACTTTCTTTCACAGTGCCATGTATAAGTGCATTTGGAAGTGTGTGTGAATGTTAAGTGATTTGAAACTAGAATGATTTTGCAGCAATGCTTAATAAGTACAGTCAATATATTCATTAAATGGTCCCCCCTTTTTTTTTTTTTTTTTTTTTTTTTTTTTTTTTTTTTTTTTTTTTTTTTTTTTTTTTTCTTCTTCTTCTTCTTCTTCTTCTTCTTCTTCTTCTTCTTCTTCTTCTTCTTCTTCTTCTTCTTCTTCTTCTTCTTCTTCTTCTTCTTCTTCTTCATATTGGTACCATTTTATTATAAAAAAAAATCCTTTTGTAAGAGAATGGAAGGATTTGGAATATTGACTGTATGTTGCATATTCTAGTCTGTGTCATATGTTTTATGTTTCCTTGGAGAAGTTTCTCGTTAGAAGTACAAATATAGAATGGGATAGTTCATTTCTTCAATGCCACAAAGATGACTTCTGATGTATAATTATATTTATGCAATTTTAGTTAACTATGCTGCAGAATCCTCATAAAAGGAAATTTCACTGACCCTCCAAGTTTTTGTTATTTATTGATGATATATGCCACACAATGACTTAAGATGGGATATTCAATTGTAATACCAAAATAGTCTATGGATAGTCATGGAATGTATTCCTATATACTGTATAAATTTTTATGAAGGCTTGTGTACAAGTGCAGATTTTTACTGAAGTACAGTTTTCATATGTATGTAGTTATGTCTTTAGTCTACATAATGTAATTGCTGTGTTAATGTTGAGTATGAACTTTATTTAAAAAAACATTGTAATCTGTACATAATGTGCAGTGAAAGTCTGAAAAGGTGAAGTAAGCCTATCAAATGAAAAGCCCCATTGTTGTTATGTGAGTTTCATTAACCAAGAAACTTAGAAGAAAAAAGAAGTGAAGGACAAGAATTGTAAAGGCTTAGGAGGCGGAGACTGGGACCCACTGCTGGGGAACTCCCCTGCCTTGGGACTCAGCCCTCACTCAACTGATTTTGCATGCTCTTCCCCCCCCCCTCCTTTTTCGTTTCCTTCCCTTTCCCACCCCCCCCAATCCCTTGCCCGTTGTTGTCGTGGGGGGGGCTTAGGAGGCGGAGACTGGGACCCAATGATGGGGAACTCCCCAACCTTGGGACTCAGCCCTCGACTCAACTAATTATGCATGGTCTTTTTTTTTCCCTTCCCACTTTTGTTTCTGTCCCTTCACCAAACCCTTCTGCTATCCACCTCCTAAGGTGTGAAAGCCGTGCTGAAAGGATGAAAGGCTGACTTTGTGCCAGTCCTGAACGGCCTGAGGGAGCCATGGGCACGGTATTCCCCTGATTTAGTTATCTAGCCCTTACCCCTCAAGGGGACCCTGAGGGGTGGACTGCTTTTATCCCCAACATAATCCAGGCTTCCCATGGCCAGTAATGAAAATATATCCCCACTGTTAGGGGCAATGAGGCTTGCCCCTTTATCAAATAGCCCCAACGAAATAAACCCACCCGATTCCCCGACCCCAGGCTCTCCTTTGACCACGGCTCCAAACACTGCAATAACTACCCCTTCACCAATGCCTACTAGTACAGTAGCCAACAATCAACCCTCAAGGAACATTTCCACTCTCCCAGCATGCCCAACTTCAACACCTCTACCCCCACAACCTCCAGCATCAACCACCCCATCCTCCCTTATTAATACCTTACAGCCTTATAGCCCACCTCTCCATAACACTACCTCCATCAACACTACTCCATCTTCGTCACGCCCTCGCCCTTCTACCACCCCTATCTCTAAAACAATCTTGAATACTCTCTTCAGTGCAGCCAAATGGGACCGATTTTTCGTGATCCCTCCCACAGCTCCCTACTCTGACAACACCCTTCTCTTCCAACAATGCCTCCAAAAACAAGTAGGCAAAGTCTCTTTCCGTAGCCGACCCGACCGCTCCCGTCTTGTAACAGTAACATCCGAAAACCAAGCCATAGCATTAACAAAACTAACTGACCTATATGGTAACCCCATCCTAGCAGAACCCCATCCAACCCTCAATACTTGCACCGGAACAGTCTCAATCTCACCAACAAATTGCCCAATCTATGACAAAGATTGGTCAGATTGTGGAGAAGATCTACTTGCCTGTCTCACAGACTACGATGCAACATCAGTACAATGCTATTCCATCCCCCCCCAGAGGTCATCGAAAGAAACCCACTAACATAGCCAAAATTACCTTCCGTAGACATGACCTTCCCTTTAACGTCTACATAGGAGGAGAATCCCTCCCTGTTCGTCCATACCAACCTCCTCTACGTCAGTGCCAAAATTGTTGGCGTCTAGGACACCCAGCCAAACACTGCCGTTCCACAGCCAGATGCCCATTATGTGCCCAACCTGGCCATACCCGATCTAACTGCTGTGCACAATCACGCACATGTGCCAACTGTGGCGGCCCCCATAATGTATTTTATAGGGGCTGTCCCACCTACAAATTTGAATCTGAGGTAGCAACTCTCAGATTCAAACTCGGACTCACACTGCGTGAAGCCAGACAGGAAGCACGTCGACGTGGATTCTCTCTTACTCCTTACTCCAGTAATACTGCTCATTCTAACACTTCTCCTAAACCCACCCCTCCTACATCTAACCCCCCCACTAACCCCACCTACCTTCCCCAGTCAAACTCTTTTGCCATCCTAAATCCAGAAACTCCAATCTCTACTACAGATACTCCAATCACCACTACAACCCCAACACCTTCCCCTCTCCCTCCTCGCACTCCCCGTAACAGACAGAACAAACATTCCACCCCCTCTTCCCCTACCACACAATCACCCCCACCATCCTTTGCCCGTACTCTTGAGACACCAGTCCTCTCTTCCCCCCCTCACAAGAAATCCTTTATCCCCCAAAACTCCCCAACCAACTCCACAGAAGAAACTATTGAAAATATTCAAGATTACTTAATGAAAACCGACACTCAACCTACAACTCCTGCTCCTTCCACACTCCAAGTAATTGCTGATATCCATCCTCCTCCTAACGATATCCCCCCTACACCCTACCCTCCTACCCCCTCCCAACACAGCCCATCCCCCCTGACCCCAACCCTGCCCACATTAACTCTCCCACCATCCCCTCTATCCCTTCCACTCCCTCCTGGATACACACGTGAATCCCTTATGTCACAAGTATCCCCTTCCTCAGACCCTCCATCTCCTACTACCCCTCCTGATAGAACACCAACTCCCACACCTCTCCCATCTCAAACCTCAGTCCTTATCCCACCCTCTAGCTGCTTCCCCTTCAAATTCTCCAACACGTACTACAATCTATATCACTAAATCAACGAAAGTATAACTATCCTTCATTGGAATATTCGCGGTTTCCGCTCCCACAGACCTGACCATCATATCCTTTCCTCTTATAACCCATCTATTGTATGCCTTCAAGAAACCTTTCTTATGCATACCCTTTATCTAATATAACACCCGACCTTAACCCTTTCACTCACTAATTCCTTTGCCCAGCTTAGACAACTAATCACTAACTCAACCACCCTTCACTAACATTAACTATAGTGCTACATGACCTTAGATGTCTAGCACATTTATCTTGCTTTTAACCATTAACCATTAACCATTCCCTTTCCCAACCCCTTCTACTATCCACCCCCCCAATCCCTTGCCTGTTGTTGTCGTGGGGGGGGCTCAGGAGGCGGAGACTGGGACCCAATGATGGGGAACTCCCCAACCTTGGGACTCAGCCCTCGACTCAACTAATTTTGCATGGTCTTTTTTCCCTTCCTACTTTTTCGTTTCTGTCCCTTCACCAATCCTTTCTACTATCCACCTCCTGAGGTGTGAGAGCCGTGCTGAAAGGATGAAAGGCTGACTTTGTACCAGTCCTGAACGGCCTGAGGGAGCCATGGGCACGGTATTCCCTTGCTTAGGCCTAGCCCTTACCCCTCAAGGGGACCCTAAGGGGTGGACTGTTTCTCTCCCCAACATACTCTTGGCTTACCATGGCCAATAATGAAAACGTAACCCCACCATTAGGGGCAATGAGGCTTGCCCCTTCATCAAATAGCCCCAACAATTCAAATCCTCCCGATTCCCTGACCCTAGGCTCTCCTTTGACCACGGCTCCGAACACTGCAACAACTACCCCCTACTCAATGCCTACTAGTACAGTAGTCAACACTCAACCCCCTAGAGACATTCCTACTCTCCCATCATGCTCAACACCTCTACCTCCACAACCTTCTACATCAACTACCCCATCCTCCCTTATTAATACTTTACAGCCTTATTGCCCACCTCTCCATAACACTACCTCCCTCAACACTACTCCCTCTTCGACACGCCTCCGCCCTTCTACTACCCCTATCTCTACAACAATCCTAAATACTCTATTTAGCCCAGCCAAATGGGACCGATTTTTCGTGATCCCTCCCACAGCTCCCTACTCTGATAACACCCTTCTCTTCCAACAATATTTCCAAAAACAAGTAGGTAAAGTCTCTTTCCGTAGCCGACCCGACCGCTCCCGTCTCGCCACAGTAACCTCTGAATTCCAAGCTATAGCATTAACAAAACTGCCTATATGGTAACCCTATCCTTGCAGAACCCCATCCAACCCTCAATACTTGCACCGGAACAGTTTCAATCTCTCCAGCACTCTGCCCAATCTATGACAAAGATTGGTCAGATTGTGGAGAAGACTTACTCGCCTGTCTCACAGACTATGATGCGACATCAGTACAATGCTACTCCATTCCTCCCAGAGGTCAGTGTAAGAAACCCACTAACATCGCCAAAATTACTTTCCGTAGATATGACCTCCCCTTTAATGTTTACATAGGTGGAGAATCCCTCCCTGTCCGACCATACCAACCTCCTCCTCGTCAGTGCCAAAGTTGTTGGCATTTAGGACACCCAGCCAAACATTGCCGTTCTACAGCCAGATGCCCACTATACTGGCCATACTCGATCAAACTGTTCTGCACAGTCACGCACATGTGCCAACTGTGTTGGCCCTCATAATGTATTTTATAGGGGCTGCCCCACCTACAAATTTGAATCTGAGATAGCAACTCTCAGATTCAAACTTGGACTCACACTACGTGAAGCCAGACAGGAAGCACGTCGACAAGGTTTTTCTCTTAATCCCTACCCCAGTAATATTGCTCATTCTACCACTTCCCCTACCTCCCAAGCTCCTACATCCTCTCCTAAACCTACCCCCCCTCCATCTAACTCCCCCTCTTCTACCTCCTACCTTCCCCAGTCAAACTCTTTTGCCATCCTAAATCCAGACACTCCAATCTCCACTACAACCCCAACACCTTCCCCTCTCCCTCCCCGCACTACCCGCAACAGACAAAACAAACGTTCCACCCCCTCTTCCCCTACCACACAATCACCTCCACCTTCCTTTGCCCCTACTCTACTCCCCTCCCCCCCACCTATCCTCCCTTCACCGACCTCCCAACCTATTCTGCTTCGACAACCTGTTTTCCTCTCAAACGCATAAATATCCCTCACTTAATCTAACCCCTTTACATTACCTCACCCGACCTTAACCCATTCACTCACCAATTCCTTTGCCCAGCTTTGACAACTAATCACTTACTTAACCACCCTTTACTAACATTTACTATAGTGCTACATGACCTTAGATGTCTAGCACATTTATTTTGCTTTTAACCATTAACCATACCCTTTCCTCTTATATTATATGCTTTAAAGAAACTTTTCTTACACATTTTCCTATCCCAATTACCATTTTGTCTCGTCCTCCCACTCCCTTTATGTCTGGTTTGTACTTATCAATCAGAAAACACCTTATGTTATACCTCCCTTTCAAACCACT